AAGTAGAGAGAGACAAAGACAGATACAGAGACAGGAGGCCTGAAAGGGGTCTTCCTACCATGTGAGTTTTGTGTGCTGGAGGCCGAATTATCAGTGGGAAATCAAGAACTATGGAGTATGAGCTAAAAGTTTTTGATATTATAAAGTAAACGTTTGTGAAAAAATGTAAAAACAAATTAATTAATTAATTAAATTAATAACTAAAGTTAAATAAAATAATTCTTTAAAAATGAAACATAAAACTTGTAAAATAAATTCAAGAACCTGTGCTGGTTGCACTTAGATAGGTTAGGTTCTTCAAATTTAGGGTTCTCTTTGACACATTTTTAATTCTATAGATTTCAGCAATATGTCTCTTAGGATGACCAGGGAAGACACTACTCTTAGACCCACATTGTTATCGGAACAGTATTTTCTAAGTTTTATTACAATTGAGAGGGTGGTGTTTTTCATAAATTTGGTGCATCTTAAAAGTACTTTACCTACTAAAGAAAGTTGATGGAAATCACTGGAAATAACCCCAATGCTCTAACTCCAATCTCCGAAACCCTAAACATTTCAGGTCCCAGATTTGCAGAATTGAGATTGTACTTTTTCCCCATCATGTACCTACATGCCATTTCAACTTAGAAAATTAAATACAACATTTGTAATGACTACCATCAAACATTCTTTCTGATACTCTGAGCTTTGGTCCATGCAGCAGAGAGCTGAAAGGCAAACATGTATCTCCCTTGCAAATGACAGGCCCTGTCATCTGTGAACTTAGAGCTGCCTGTTAGTTTAGGCCAATAGTGAGGCCTGGAAGAACACCTCCTAGGAGGGCTGCTGGTACCTTTCTTCCCTTGAATTTGAATCTGAGTAAACAAAAATGAATGCATGCTGTGAGGCTCTTCTCCTACCAAGATATTTACACTAAAGAGTGATTTCTGAACATACATGGCCATGTTCTCTTAGCTTTAACACTGACATGACTGGTTCATTTCACCGGGGAGGTATTTTGAGAGCCTCCATGCTGTAGTCTCTGTGTGGGGCATAGAGACAGGAGGACTAGCCAGTACCATCCCATCCCAAATGGGTGACCAGATACCTGATGTGCCAGGCTTGTTGGGTCCCAGATGCATTGGTTTCTTAGGAAATGAGAATAATCCCTCGTGGTTTTGAACCCCTCAACTAGTCTCCTCGCTGCACTCCTCCATGAGACCCTCAGCTGCAGCATCCATGTGAGTTCCTGAACACAGCTAGGATCACATAACAGTCCCCTGCTTCTCATGTCACCCAGGACAAAAGCCACGGCATTGTTTTCTACACAAGTGCCCTTCACGCCCTATACTCAGAACACTCTTCTCACCCCCACTGCCTGGTCACTTAGGTGGGCTTTGCCTGCAGCCCTCCTCTCTGGGGCTCTCTGAGTAGAGCATCTTCCCCAGACTTGCTCAGGTGTGACCTGCGTGCAGGCGGTTTTCTGAGTGCTCAGACTCAACTCTATCCCGTACCTCACTGCGTGCCCCTTGGTATTCTCCTCAGTACGCTGCATTGACCGTGTGGGAGTTTATTGTCCATTTGTGGCTTTCCCACTAGACTGTAAGTACAGATTGCCGAATGTCAGTGCTCTAGTGAACAGATCATGTCTGCACCTAGCAGCATTGCTGTGAAACAAAACTTCTGGATCCTTTCTGAGGGAATGAGTGTACCATAATGCTGGCAAGCAAGCCAGTCTGTGACCCTGTCTCTCGTCCCCTACAAAATTACACAGTACAACTTCTTACTGTTGTCAACAAAACAGTTATGAAAATTAGACAATTAGCTATGAAAATATTTGCCAGTTAGACAGCCAGAAAAATGCATTCCTATTTTCCACATCATACTCTTTTTCAGAATTCTTTTTTTCCATTTTTTATTTCATTTTCTTTTATACATTCAATTACACTATTTAGCTTACAAAATGAATATTTCGACAAGTGAACATTCCTCCCTAGTTCAGTTGATGAAACTAAAATATATCAGAATTATATTCATAAAGTTATATGAAGTAACAGTTGATTTTTAATGAATTATGAATTATTGCAGGAACTGTTAAATGCTGTTTTTTTACTATTGAAATATCAATAACCCTGGACCAGCTGATGGCATAATTATCATGTTGCTGGATTCCCACCATGTTCAACCACAGTTCCAGTCTGGGCCTGGAAGCTTGAATCTGATGGGCACACGCGCATGTGTGCCCAAAATATCGAAAGGAGAGGGACCAGCAGTTAGCGTAAGGGCTATTTCACTGAACTCCCACGTATCCAACCGTGGTTCAAGTCCTGGACCTGGTGGCTTAAACTCACACTGGGCACATGTGCGTGCATGCCCAAAATCCTGAGAGGAAAATGGAGGAGAAGGGATTGCAGCATGGCCATCACCCCTGGGGGGTGATTTCTCACTTTTTGTCACTCTGTCTCTCTCTGCCTTTCTGGCGAGTGCATGCACCGTATAGCAAAAACATAAAATAAAATAAAATAAAATAAAAAACCTCTCCAAAGGAGAAAAAAAAATGTTGAGAGAAAAATGCAAGAGAAGGAATCGTGATGTGGTCATCTCCCTGAGAGGTGATTTCTCACTTTTTGTTTCTCTATCTCTCTCTCTGGAGAGTGCATGCATCCTATAGCGAAAGTATTTTTAAAAAAATTCAGTAACCCAAGATGGCTAACAAATATACCAGAATGTGGAAGCACATCTCCTGAGACAGAAGAGTACACACGTGTGGGGAATCTTACACTGAGACCAAGCGAAGGAAGGAGACAGACACCGAAATGTAAGGAATGTCAGTCACATTCTGTGCACCTCTGGGGACGGCGTGGGACAAACAAGCAGATTTCTAGTATCAGAGTCACGTAAAAGGGGATGGGAGGCTACAAAGAGCTCAGTAAGAAATAAAAATTCCCAAGGACAGACCTGGGTGTGAAAAGCTACAAAACAACTCTCCAGAAAGGGAAATTGATTGTCTTGGTTATTTTTCTTCATCAATTTACTTATTCTAAATTTTTAAAAAGTAATTTTCTTGTTTTATTTAGTTAATTACTTATCAAGAAAATAAATATGAAGTTATGTAAGTCAAGGATGTCCTGGTGTGCACAGCTGGTTATCATTTTGCAGCTGTGTGACTCCACTGCTGTGTAGGTTATGATATAAACCAAGGAAAACGAGATAAACACCCTCTCTAGTTTTCTATGCTTTGACCTGAGCTATCTGAGTTGAATGACGTATGGTAAAACACAGTAAGGAATTTTCTAAACAATGACCAAATTATGAATATTGAAATGACTAGAAATTAGAAACAGCCATACAGTTTCAAAATCTGATTCCATCACTAACCATATTTGAGAAAACTGTTCTTCACAACTGTGTATATTACTTTTATATTTGAAAAATTAAAACAATTCTTTTATTTACAAAATTGTATTTTGGACAGATTATAATAAATAAAATAATGTGAAGAAGAGTTCACACAATATATAGCATCTCAAAGTTTGTTATATAAAGAGAGAAAAATATATATATATACCTTGCATGTATATACATATATATGCACACATATATACATATGTACATATGTATATGTCTGTGTGTGTGTAGTTTCCATACTCCTGTTACATTCTCATTATCATAATAGCTATTTCAGACACATATGAAGCAGAAAGAAAAAAGTGTAAAATATGAAATTAACCATGCATAAGTTACTTCGCAATGTGTAACAACAGTAAGAAATCTGTACCTGAAAATATATGCATTGAATTTCAAGTTCTGTATGGCTTCAGAAAATCCAATCAAAATTATGGAAAATGGATTATTAAAATTTTTAACTAGGTTGGCTCTTATAGGACATGTGACACTTTTACAGGTCAAGGACAGATTTCGGATGGTGGACACATTTTTAGTGAAGACAACAGAATGCCTAAAAAAGAAGAGAGAGAATTTAAAGAAGAGAATCAGGGCTCAGCTGGCTCTAGTTGTGCCAGGTGGGGAGGGATAACGAAAAATAAAAATATGGAAGAGGGCTAAATAATAATGAAAACTTCTGATTCAAGCATGCAGAGAGCTTCTGAGTCACACATACCTGTTTGTTTATTTGTTTGTTTATTTGTTTCCCATATGGTGCATATGCATGCTGGAGAGAGAGAGAGAGGAAAACAGATGTCACTCTCAAGGGATATAAGGCCATGCTGCAATTCCTTCTCCTTCACTCTCCTCCTGAGATTTTGGGCATGTGCAAAGCTGGCATGATTCTCGAGCTAGTGGGTCCAGAAATAAAACTACAGTAGGCCACGTGGGATCCAGTGCTTTAACCACCATGCTGCCTGTTGGCCCAGGCCTGTTTTTGGTAAATGTTCTGTGTCAAATTGGAACACTGGGAGTGGAGGGATTCCCGCCTTCTTCATTTTCTGTGACTGGTGCATCACTCGTGAGTCAGCCAGGAGCTACTGAAGAAGAGATGCTTTAATTTTCTCAGCTTTTCTGGCTATGAGGCTAGAAAAAGATGAGCAGATATGGAACAATTTCTATAGTACTACAGCACAGCAGAGGGACCACAATATATGACAACCCAATATTTGTTTCAAAATAGCTAGAAGAGAGGATTCTGAATGTTCAAAAGTAATGGTGAAGTTTGAGATGGTGGATCTGTTTATTGCTCTGATTTGATAATTACACATTGTATTTATGTATTAAAAATTACACTGGACCCAAAATATGTACAACTCTTACATGTCAATTAAATATTATAATAATAAAAGTAGGACTTACTGAAATGTTTCTAAGAGATAATCATAATTGAAGCATTCAATTCAGCTGCTGAAATTGATTCAGCAAAAGCCACACTGTTTGAGAAAAATCAATTTATTTAAAACAAACAGTAAAGTCATCACCTTTTTATTCTCCTGTTTGGTTTATTTCATGCTTGGAGAATTGTTTCTCTTTTTATTTTTATTTCAAGGAAGTCAAAGCCTTAAGTTTTCATGGAGGCATGGAATCAGAGTTCAGATGATTTCATTTTGTTGGGGTTGTTTCCACAAACTCGAACTGGCCTACTCTTCTTGTTGCTCATTGTCCTCGTGTTTCTCCTGGCCTCTGTGGGTAACTCAGCAATGATTCACCTCATACGTGTGGATCCTCGTCTCCACACACCGATGTACTTTCTGCTCAGCCAGCTCTCCCTCATGGACCTGATGTGTATCTCCACTACTGTCCCCAAGATGGCATTCAACTTCCTCTCTGGACAGAAAGCCATCTCCTTCCTGGGATGCGGTGTGCAAAGCTTCTTTTTTCTGACAATGGCAGGTTCTGAAGATTTACTCCTGGCTTCCATGGCCTATGACCGCTATGTGGCCATCTGCCATCCCCTCCATTATTCCATCCGCATGAGTAAATGGATGTGTGTAAAGATGATTGTTGGATCTTGGATACTCGGCTCCATCAACTCCTTGGCACACACTGCCTATGCCCTCCATATTCCGTACTGCAGGTCTAGAGCCATCAATCATTTCTTCTGTGATGTCCCAGCCATGTTGCCTCTTGCTTGCATGGACACTTGGGTCTATGAGTACATGGTGTTTGTGAGCACAAGTCTATTTCTCCTCCTTCCTTTCATTGGCATCACTGCTTCCTACGGCCGAGTGCTTTTCGCTGTCTACCATATGCAGTCAAAGGAAGGGAGAAAGAAGGCCTTCACCACCTGTTCAGCACATTTAACTGTCGTGACCTTTTACTGTGCACCTTTTGCGTACACCTACCTTAGGCCCAGGCATCTCCGCTCGCCTGCAGAAGATAAGATTCTGGCAGTGTTTTACACCATCCTCACCCCCATGCTCAATCCCATTATCTACAGCCTGAGGAATAAGGAGGTCCTGGGGGCAATGACGAGAGTGTTTGGGATATTCTCTTTAATGAGAAAATAATCATGGTAATCTTTACTGCTGTTCTTTGTTTACTCTTTGCATGTTGATCACAACACTCTAGAGTGAAGCTTGACAATGGAAATTCAATGTCAGTCGCATAAGTAATTTTAATTATTATAATAAATGTGAAGATATTTATTTAATTGAAAACAATATTATAATCAATATTAATATCAATTGTATTGATCACTATTGTATAGTATAAGCAATATATGAAAATATGTTTGAACACATTATTAATGAAAGTATATTTGTGGTCATCAAAACATGATCTCTATATGTAATTTACATAAAATTATTAATATACTGTTAAATCTCCAATGTCTTGTATGTTGACAGCACCATATCGAGCCCACCCTGCCCAGTAGTCACATGGGGCCACTGTTTATATTTGGATATCAAAACCTTAGAGTGTCCTATAAAATGTTTATAAAGTGTATTAATGTGGTATATAAAATATACTTGTAGTGTATAAAATACAGATAGTGTAATGAGAAGACATAAGTGAGCAATCACACAACATGGTGTTAAAAATTGGTGTCTCAGTCTCATATTTCAAACATGTGCAGCTTGACTCTATTGACACATAGAATACATCCTATTCTAACAATGAGGACAGCACAGGGTAAGTCCTAGACACCATTGTGGAATTGAATAGCTGTATAATGTGCATTCCAGAATACAAAAAGTTGGATTAAAGCATAAAAGCTCTTTCATGAAATATTAGCTGAAAAATGTGCAAATTTAGAGACAAATAAGGACATTCAAATCATAAAATACAAAGAACATTAAATAAATTTAACATAAAAAGATCCTCCCCAAGGAACATTGTGGCCAAAGTGGTAAAAATAAGAGACAAAGACAATAGTCTAAAAATGGCAGGAGAAAGATGACAAATTACTTACAAAGTTTATTTCATTAGATGATTGTTGGACCTCACAACTGAAACCATGCAGGTAAAGAAAGAATGGGAGGATATAATGAAAACTATGAAAGAAACCAATTTCAGCAAAGAATATTATAATTTACCTGTCAAAATGGGAATAGAAAGGAAATCATTTTCAGATAATTAAAAGCTGAAACACTTCAAAAATACTAGACCAGTTCTTGTGAACATATTTAAAGGAATATTACACCAGAATAATTAAGGAAAAAATAATACAAGCAACAGAACACAACAAAACTAGGAAAAAAAAACCCACAATAACAAAAGGAAAGGGCTAAATCAGACCATACTGATAATAAAATTGAATATTAATGGATTAAATTACCAACTAAAAGATACAGGCAAAATGAACTAGACTTTGAAAGACACACACTGTATATTCCCACTCAATATGTACTAAATGTCTGCACTCTATGACAGAAATGGAACAATCCAAAGGTATGGTAGTAGAGAGGATTAAGTGTAAACACTCGAGATTGTAAGGGAGAGAGGAGAGGCAAAAAGAATAAACATTAATACATAAAAGAATGTAAAGTTCTCTATAGAAAGATTTGTTTATGGTAATATCCTTTATTTGATTGTCATGTACTAAATGAGCATTTTCCATAACCATATTGTGTGTTATAAAATTTTCAAATGATAAAATATAAGACAAAACAAACTAAAAAGCAAAACTGTCCAGTATTGTACTTTGCAAATTTTTGTTAAAGCATCATTTTTTCTTTTATTTTTTTTCTTATTTTTTTCATTTAGTCACTGTACATCTTTACAGCATATGAAATGAATTTTGCCACTTTGCATACACTGCATATAGGTCCAGTCGAAGATATCATCATACACATTATTATCAGCAGACAATTTTCCATTTTTTGTGTCCATTAAATATTTTGCTTTTTACTCCCTTCATTTCCTACCCCCTCCCCATTGCTCACCCTGCACTTGCACTGTCATTAGTTTGCTATTTTTTTATTTCAAGAAAAGCAGTTTTGGGACCAGCAGTTAGTGTAATGGCTTTGTCACTGGACTCCCATGTAGCCAACTGCGGTTTGAGTCCCGGACCTGGTGGCTTAAACTCACGCTGAGCGTGTGTGCATGAGTACCCAAGATCCTGAGAGGAGAATGGAGGAGAAGGTATTGTGGTGTGGCCCTCCCCCCTTGGGGGGGTGATTTCTCACTTCCTGTCTCTCTTTCTCTCTCTGTCTTTCTGGCGAATGCATGCACCCTATAGCAAAATCCTCTCAAAAAGAAAGAAAGAAAGAAAAGCAGTTTTAGTTTTAATGAATCAACATTTTACTAGTTAAGAAACATTTGCTTAAGACTTAACTAGGAGGGGACTAGCAGTTAATGTAATGGGTATGTTGCTGGACTCCCACGTAGTCGACTGCGATTCGCTTCCCGGACCCAGTGGCTTAAAACTCACGTCGGGCGTGTGTGCGTGTGTGCCCAAGATCCCCAGAGGAGAATGGAGGAGAAGGGATTATGGTGTGCCATCCCCCCTGGGGGGTGATTTCTCGCTTTCTGTCTCTCTCTGTCTGTCTGGTGAGCACACACACCCTAGAGCAAAAAAAACCTCCAAAAAAAGAAAAAAAAAAAGACTTAAGTCAGGAGAAAGTTTAGGATTCTGTCCAAACAGCAGGTAGCTACTAAAAACTCAAAAATAAATATGGACAGACATAAAATCTACTAACAAGTGCATTATCATTTTCTTTTGAAACATTTTTTCTCTCTTCATTCCTCCTTTTATCAATGAGAAGCATAAATTAATTTATTTGCAAAAAAATAAATTTAGTCTCAATTTGGTCTGTTATTTGCACAAATCCCACTAAGAATACAAATTGATTTAGTTAGCTTTACTGGAAACTTTTATAAGGAACTTCTGATTAGACTCTTTAAAAAGCCTCCCAAAGCTACTGAACCAAATCAGGAATTCACCAACTGTGCCTTTAAGTACCTGTACTTGGAAGTTTGGGGGTTTCTCAGGAAATAACATTCTTTTTTCTTCCTTTGAGAGAATTTTTTTTTCTATAGGGCACCTTTGCTCACCAGAGACAGAAAGTGAGAAATCATCCCCCTAGGAGGGTTGGTCACATCACAATCCCTTCTCCTCCATTCTCCTCTCGAGATCTTTGGGCACTTGTGCACTAACGCTCGTGTACCTGGCATGAGTTCCAAATCACCTGCTCCAAGACTTGAACCACAGTCGACTATGTGGGAGTCCAGCAATGTAACCATTATGACATATGCTAGTCCCAGAGTGTGACATTCTTTACTTACCTGCCAGGCAGAACTGTCTATGGTACCAGGCAATCTTTCCAAGAACGTCTACTGGCTTTCTTGAGATCGACCTCAGTTCCTTCGCTTTTTGGTCATATACACTGGAGGAGTCCTACCCGGTGGGGCCCCAGTTTGAGCCCTCGACCTTTGAGCACAGCCTTGGTCAGCTCAACATGTTGGCAAGGCTGCTGCTGTACGCCCCCTGACCTATGAACAAAGCTTGGGTCAACTCAGCATGTTGGCAAGGCCACTTGCTGTATGCTCTGGAGACTGCCGTAGCCTTGCTGGGATGCGACCCCCCTCTGACTCCCTGATATACTACTATGAAAGAATTACATGGCTCTCTCATACATCTTGAGTATGTGATAAGATTTCCCGAAAGTCCCCCAACCACTCCCCTTCGCCCTGACCACCTATTGTTAATTACAATGCTTCATCCCTGCGGTCACAATGGAGGGTGTGCTGAAGTTCCATCTGGGCAGAAATCTTCTTGACCTTTGGAAGGCCCTTCAAGACACATTTAACATAAGCTTAAAAATAATCTTTTATTTACATAAAATAGGATTAGGCCAAAACTGGCCCAGGACACTCCCGCCCCACGGTAGCTAACCTTCTAACAAAATACATAACAGTGGCACCACAGGCACAACAGAACACTTAGGTATACCACAAACCCATTTTAAAGATTTTCGTTAACTTGTTAGTCACTTTACTTTTGACTTAAGAAAAACCGGTACCGCCAGTTGGAGAAGCTGATTAAAGTATCCCCACCCTCACCAAGTGAACAATAGGCTCACCCCTTTAGAGCAGACAGATATATTAGGATTTCTTGAATTAAGCTTTAGATCCCTGTAAAACTATATAAGTATCATTCTTTATAGAGATCCATAAGAACTAATACCTATACTTGAGATTTTCTTTTCTTAGCATCGTACTTAGTAATCGCAAGAGGGCTGCCACCAAGCATTGGCTGATAAGTAACTCTATTTGATGGAGGTGTTTCCCAAAACTGCATTCCTTCAAGTTCCTGAAAACCTGTTTACATCAATCAAACAATTGCTGAATTGCAATAGACCCATGCTTAATCTAACCCTGAATGGAATCTATGTTCCCTATTGTTAAAACTTTATAAACTGATAATTAGAATACGTAGCCCCTCACCCATTTACTTGCATGTATCACATTTTCAATAAAAAGGCATGATGATTCCTAGCAGTTGTCACTCTACAGAGAGCGATCTCTGGGAGTATCCGACTGAGGACGTGCACAAAAAAGACACTGAGGCCTCAGTCTTTCCTTCCTGTGCCGCCTCCGACGAGATAACCCACCCCCGCTGAGGCTGGACCCCAGCAATAGACAGATATGACATTCTAGTCAAAGCCCTGGCGAGAACCAGTGTTTCCAGTTTCTGATGCAAGAAAACAGATCCTACTGAACTTATGCAAATAGCCATACTGACACAAAATAAGAGAATTTGTAAATACTTTCCAATTCTGGAGGGGTCAGGAAATGAGAAAAGTTTGTGGTTCAATTCCATTGCCAAAAAAAAAAAAAATTGTAAGTGGCTGAGCTATCAATAGTTGAAAAGAAAGCATAAATCTTTAATTCTGGAAAACAAAGCATAGAAGAAAATCAATAATGTTTTAATCAAAAGTCAGGAAATTCTACTTAACCAGATCAGTCTCATGTACTTAATCTCTGTTCTGTTGATTTTGCAGTGTTACTGCGGTCTTATCTTTCCGTTTTAAATCCTAAAACCTCAGAAATATGATCTTGATTG